CAGAGGTAAAAATGTCAGAGGTAAAAATGTCAGAGGTAAAAATGTCAGAGTTAAAATTTCAGAGGTAAAAATGTCAGAGGTACAAGCAAAACAAAATGAGTGCCGTCATAATATCTCAGCACTTTTATCACACAGAATGTCGAGACGTACAGCTACTGCATGGGCTAGTCTATTAATATTCCTTTCTTCCATAATGTAAATTTTATAAATGGCTGTGTGTTGTATTTCGTACATGTCCTGAGGATAATACAATGTGGAAAATAGATTTTGAAATTGATCTTTTTGTGATCAGGCTTGCATATAATGAATGTCTAACATTTTTTGATATTTTGAATTGGTTGATGTGTTAATGTTTGTGACTCGGACCGGTTTAGCCGGTGGCAGCCTACAACTAGCTATAGCCCGTGTAACGTTCCAGAGACGAACAAAGTCCAAAAGAAGAAATGAAAGTTCTCGACAAAAGTCAAGTGTTAAAGTGAGTAGTGCATTTAGTACAAATAATTACATATAATCACGAGGAATCACGAAAAGTTACATAATGGCTGGGCGCCCCGAACTCTGCTAAAGCTTTAGCACCTCATGGCGGCAAAGGAAGTGGAGTAAGAATGAGAAAAAACAAGAAGTCGCCCGAAAAGTGAAAACTCGCTCCGAAAACTACAAACCCGCTTCAAAAAGTAAAAGACCGTCTCGATTCTAGCCTTTTGACAAGGCCTCGTGACTCGATCTGGCTAAGCGGCTGAGATGAGTCTAGATACCCGGAGTGAACGCGCGACCGAGTGACGAATGTCACGAGGCCTTTTGCAATGTAGGTTTCACTGCTCCGCATGAATTATTCATAGATACATATTAGCATGCCAATACGCCTACTTTGGATTTATTGACCAATCATAACGGCGATCTCCCAGTTGGCTTCGTTTGTGATTCGTTCCATGTAGAGGTCAGTACGTGGTCTTAGCACGTACGTAATAGTTCATAGTAGGTCCATGTTCGTACTACGTATACGTAGAGTTTACTGTGTGAGTGAGTGTGTGTGTGTGTGTGTCTGTGTGTGTGATGGATACTATATGCTGATGACGTAGTGCGAGGATACGTTCGCTGATTGGACGCTCCATTTTCTGAAGCGAATTCCAGTCGGAAACAATGGTTAACATATTAAGAAATCCAAACCAGATTGATAAAGGCTACTTGGAAGGGCTTCGAATTCTCGCTCTTGTTCACTCGGGTTTTCGCGATTAGTCTCGTTTTAGTCGCTCGGCGTCTATCAGACAAGTGGCCTTGTTTAAAGGCTATCTCGATTCAGAAGCTCATCCCCATTTTAAACCCTCCGACACGTGTGACCCCTTATAAGGGCGTGTCACTACGACGCATTGCGTCAAAATATCCACTCCTCTGTGGCGAACGCAATTATTCTACTCCGAGCTTGGGGACCGTTGTCGTAGAGAAGGAACTGCGTTGGGTTGGGCCCATCCGTCATCGTTTGTTCGGGATCCATGTTCAATTCTGCTAGAGTTGCAGGCTCCATAACACTGCGGCTTGGCAGATTTCCCTGTACTTCTGTAGGCAGATTTCTCACCGTATCCGTATATATTTGTTTGGGCGTGTCGTTGGTGGTTAAAATTAAATATAAACAATTTTTGTTAAACAAGTATAATAATCAGTATCAATAGTATGGGCCAATTTTTGACATTTTTTATATACTCTGATCGTGCATGATAGTAAGTTTTAATATGTTCTTTGTTTTTTGTTCTGTTCTTTTGTTCTCGTTTTCATGTATGTGTGTTTTTAGGGGTAGGCTTTTATATAAGGAACTTCCCTCCTTTCTGCCTATCCCAAATGCTCTTATAAATTGCCATTGTATTTGTTATCACTTTCTTTAAAAATTTATATTTATAACTTCATTCTGTATTTGTATGTTTTAAATGTTTTTATGAAGAGTGTTGAATAAACTTTGAATTGAATTGAATTTGCTGCCGCGCTTTTGCTATCTCCGTTCCTACTAGGTCAACGTCATCACAGGCGCGCCGGAAGCAGTTTGGGATTGGGGTGGCAAACACTCCAGGGGGCTCACCTTCCAGTGGCAGAAGAAAAATCTGCATTACCACCAGTCTTACACGTTACATGCAGGCCGGCCTGCGGAACGTTTTTTTCAAAGTGGAGTATTAACGATCAGGTAGAGCGTAAATTGGCTTGGGGTCCAGGGCCTGAGCCTCGGCAGGGGGTCAAGGGGCTGAGCCCCCGGAAGCTCAGGGGTTTTAGGTATTTAATTACGGTCAGATGAGCATCCAGGAGCCCGCCTTAGGACCCTTGGTGGGGTCCGGGGGGCAGAGCCCCCAGAAGCTTAGGGATTTTAGGTATTTAATTACGGTCAAATGAGCATCCAGGGGCCCGCCTTAGGGCCCTTGGTTGGGTCCAGGGGGCAGAGCCCTCGGAAGCTCAAGGATTTAAAGTATTTAATTACAGTCAGATGAGCATCCAGGGTCCCTCTTTAAGGCCATTGATGTGGTCCAGGGGGCAGAGCCCCCGGAAGCTCAGGGGTTCTAGGTATTTAATTACGGTCAGATGAGCATCCAGGGGCCCGCCTAAGGGCCCTTGGTGGGGTTCGGGGGCAGAGCCCCCGGAAGCTCAGGGATTTTAGGTATTTAATTACGGTCAAATGAGCATCCAGGGGTCTGCCTTAGGGCCCTTGGTGGGGTCCGGGGGGCAGGGCCCCGAAAGCTCAGGGATTTTAGGTATTTAATTACGGTCAAATGAGCATCCAGGGGCCCGCCTTAGGGCCCTTGGTGAGGTCCGGCGGGCAGAGCCCCCAGAAGTTCAGGGATTTTAGGTATTTAATTACGGTCAAATGAGCATCCAGGGGCCCGCCTAAGGGCCCTTGGTGGGGTCCGGGGTAGAGCCCCCGGAAGCTCAGGGATTTTAGGTATTTAATTACGGTCAAATGAGCATCCAGGGGCCCGCTTTAGGGCCCTTGGTGGGGTCCGGGGGGCAGGGCCCTGGAAGCTCAGGGATTTTAGGTATTTAATTACGGTCAAATGAGCATCCAGGGGCCCGCCTTAGGGCCCTTGGTGAGGTCCGGCGGGCAGAGCCCCCAGAAGCTCAGGGATTTTAGGTATTTTATTACGGTCAAATGAGCATCCAGTGGCTCGCCTTAGGGCCCTTGGTTGGGTCCAGGGGGCAGAGCCTCCGGAAGCTTGAGGGTTTTAGATATTTAATTATGGTCAGAGGAGCATCCAGGGGACCGCCTTAGGGCCCTTGGTGGGGTCCAGGGGCCAGTGCCCCCGGAAGCTCGGGGTTTTAGGTATTATGGTCAGATGAGCATCCAGGGGACCGCCTTAGGGCCCTTGGTGGAATCCGGGGCGGAGCCCCCGTAAGCTCTGGGGTTTCAAGTTTTAATTACGGTCAGATGAGCATATTTTGATACTTCATTTGTGACATGGGCAGGTCACTTAATTTTTCTCTCTCTCTTTCTTTCTTTTTTTCTGTAACATACTTTTTCAAAAAGTGAGAGGGCTCGAGTCCCAGAGCCCAGCGGTTTTGCAGACCATGCATATTTTTCGCCCGACTGTAAATTTGGGAATTTCTAATTTTCGAACAAACGCATAAAAAGGTAAGACTTACATAAAAATTGAGAAAAATTACTGGAAATTCATGTCATTTCAGCAACATTTTTAAATCACTGGAATCGAATAAGAATCCCCCCCCCCCCCCATCAGTACGCCAGCGTTCAGGGGCTCATGTCTTCTCCCCCTCTAACAAAAAACAGACACGCTTTCCCATTCTCTCACTATATGTCCACGATATGCGCGTATCGCTATTTTAAAAACCTCCATTGATAAATATAGGTGGCATGCGCAATTTATAGGAAATTTAATTCCTGTTAACTTTCCTTTTCTTTGAATGGAATTTTATGTGATCTACTTTTGGGTTAAAAATAAAACCATTTTTTTTTTTTTGGAGGGGGGGCGTTTTTTTTTTTTTTTTTTTTTTTTTTTTTTTTTTTTGGGGGGGGGGGGGCAAAAATGCGTTTGCCCCCTATTTTTTTGACTGGGGGGGGGGCAACTGCCCCCCCCCCCTGCCACCCCACTTCCGGCGCCTTTGAACGTCATGGTTGTGTGGGTTGGCTGTGTGCGGTTGGGCCCGATTGAGATCTGTTTTTAAGGTTCCTTTGCACCCACGTGTACGCCTCACACACTTCCAAAGAATGGACACCTTGCCCTCAAATACTTTTGTGTACATGCCCCTCATTATATGACCTTCATTCCACCCTCATTAATTACCTCTGACATTTTTACCTCTGACATTTTTACCTCTGACATTTTTACCTCTGACATTTTTACCTCAGACATTTTTACCTCTGACTTTTTTACCTCTGACATTTTTACCTCTGACTTTTTTCCTCTGACATTTTTACCTCTGACATTTTTTCCTCTGACATTTTTACCTCTGATATTTTTACCTCTGATATTTTTACCTCTGACATATTTCCCTCTGACATTTTTACCTCTGACTTTTTTTCCTCTGACATTTTTACACCGAGCCAAAAAACGGACCCATTTTTAATGGTATTTATTATGAGACCCATGTTTAGGGATTTTTTTTTTTTGTAAAAAAAATTGACTCATTAGACCGGCCCACCCCCGAATATCGTAATATGTGAGTACCCCCTCCCCCTTCTCCCCCGGAATTAATCTGGATTGTTTAAACAGTTTATTTTGAAGATTTATTTTCTATAATAGTGTTTTACTTTATTATGCTTTATGAAAAGAGCAACGTTTTAAAACGGGATGCGGCGGTGATCAAAGATATCAGACTATTCAATAATGTTATTTTTTATGCTGAGAAAGGTAATCGGATTCATGGAAAATAAACCTTATAATATATCCTGACCTAAACTATTCATATCGTTTCATATATTCACATAATTGAACTTTAAACATCTATTCCGTTTTCAGCATGAGCTTTTCATGCACGAGCGCTAACGAGCTATGCGAAGCATGACCAGTCACCATGACAATGATTATAGTCACGTGACTTTCCGCCATCTTAAGTTGATCTACTCGAAGTTGTAAATAAGACTGCGACTGCAGTGACCGACCTTGATTTGCTCAAGAATTCCTGCCATTCCAACAAGTGAGTATTCGGCACGTAAATAAGCTAATTGGAATGGAAGTATAAGTAGGATCGTTGTGATTATTTTTTTTTTAGACGTATACGAATTCCTAAAGGTGAAAATGGCATTACAAGGTAGACGTACCGGCAATGTTTTTGCGGTGTCGCGAATGTGTTGTGCCCTTAGCTATGCACATAGCGCGCGTATGAGACTGGAATGCCATTTATGGATGGGTACATGTAGATCATCTAGATCATGCGAGATGCCTTTGCATTTGCCCGGCGTCGGACCAGCCAATGATGCGATGCCGATGGCCCGGCTCTCAGTCACAATGCAATGGATCTACATTTTCTAAATCATAAATGACAACATAGACAACTTTTCGATTATAAGAAGACCCAAGTTGTGGCTCTTATTCTTAACAAAAATGTTAGTTGTTTACAGATGCTGAAATGTTGGCCATCTCCTGAAAATAATGGCGCTTGTTCAGAAACCTATCCAAAATTTGAGCCGTAACTCCGGCGTGAAGATACCCTAGAGGGTCTGCTAAAACATACCCAAAATGAAGTAAATATTCTTTAAATGTCCAAATAAAGATTGTGAAAGAGTTACATGTAACTTAGATAGTCTTCTAGTCTAGATCTAGTAATATCAATGTTTTTCCGAAAAATAGGCCTGACATGTACTAGGTCTAGACCTAGGCTAGACCGAAAGCTTCAGTCTCTATAATCGTCGGTTGTTCCACTGAGACTACGTCTGGCTCCACTAGACCTCCGGTTATAGAGACAGAACGACTGCCTATGCCAGCCTGTGTTGAACTTATTCCGCTAGATTTTAGCCGCTAGGCCCCTCCCACAAACTTGCCACGGCCGTATTGTTATGCCCCCAAAATCCCCCAAAATGTCATTTTACCTCGTTCATTTCCAATTTTAAATTAGGCCTAGGCTATAATACATCGGTTCCACTTACTAACTTGATTGATATAATCCGTTTAATGGTCCCTTTTAAGGAAATTATCGGTCAAAATCGACATCCATGTTGAAAATCTTGCAAGCCGTGTTAAACTCTCGCTGCCGTCAATCTCATCCCTTCTAGTCTACGCCGAAGGCAAAATGATTATGAAGGAAAAACTGTGATAACGCCATTACGAACGTGTAGATGGCGCACAGTTTTTCCTTCATAATCATTTTGCCTTCGGCGTAGACTAGAAGGGATGAGATTGACGGCAGCGAGAGTTTAACACGGCTTGCAAGATTTTCAACATGGATGTCGATTTTGACCGATAATTTCCTTAAAAGGGACCATTAAACGGATTATATCAATCAAGTTAGTAAGTGGAACCGATGTATTATAGCCTAGGCCTAATTTAAAATTGGAAATGAACGAGGTAAAATGACATTTTGGGGGATTTTGGGGGCATAACAATACGGCCGTGGCAAGTTTGTGGGAGGGGCCTAGCGGCTAAAATCTAGCGGAATAAGTTCAACACAGGCTGGCATAGGCAGTCGTTCAGTCTCTATAACCGGAGGTCTAGTGGAGCCAGACGTAGTCTCAGTGGAACAACCGACGATTATAGAGACTGAAGCTTTCGGTCTAGACCTAGGCCTACTCCAAACATAACAAGAAAAGTGACACGAAACAGGTAATAAACACTACAACTTTTAACTCATGCTCTTTTTTTTTGACATTTAATGAATATTTACTTCATTTTGGGTAGTCTATGTTTTAGTAGGGTATCTCCATGCAGGAGTTACACTTAGTCTACAGTACAGGTTAAAACTTAAATTGTGGATAAGGTTTCTGAACAAGCGCCGACTTTTCATATAATTATAATTTATACATTTCTTTGTGGCTGCTTTGAGCTCATTGTGTGCCTGTCTGACTTTGTACTTGCAGTGTTGACCATGTTGACTAGAGTAGGCCTAGAGATAGATAGACTGAATGGGTCTATTGAAGAATCAAATGCCCCCAAAACATGACATAACTCAGTGACTCAGAGTTAAACATGAATCTAGTTAACTTAGATCTAAGTCAGAAGACAGCTAGAATCTACAGTCTAAAAATTTATTTTTGGGTTTTATTTATAGTTGTTGTTTAGACCGTTGTAGAGCCTACCTTTCTGTCTAAATGTGGACACCTCCTCAACTGTTAACCCTAATGGCAATGCCAGACAGTTTGTGAGTAAGGACATTAAACAGTCCGTATACAGTGTAGAAACAGAAAAAGAAAACAATTACAAACAAAAATGTGCTTTGCCCTCAACATTAATTATATTATTTTGTTACAAAAATGCTTTAACGGATACAGGTAGATCACTGTTTTCATTTAGACTGTCCAGCTACTAAAGCTCAGCTTATTATTATTATGATTATTATTATTTATTTGGCATTTCAAACATACAATATACATGTAAGGTACAATAGAATGGCACATACTATACATATGTAGGATTCAAAGTATGAAAGAATAAAAATTGGTTTCTCCTGCTGCACCTCTCGAAGTTACCTGGAAGAAAAAAAAAGGAATGTGAAATTCCTATAACCCGTAAGTCTTTTCTTCTGACTCCAGGAAATGCATCAGGGGATGCCTAAAATATCATACATAGTCTAATCAGATTTAAAAAAAAAAAAAAAAAACAAACTTATTGACGACAATGCATCAACTTAAGCTCAATAAATTGCAAGTAAGTAGCAGAAATTGGAATTATAAAGGTATTATGATATTTATATTATTTATTTCCTATTCTGCTTCTTCTTTACAGATTCATTCTAAAGGGAAAGTGAAGGGGAAAAAACAAGAAATAGGAAAACTTGACTCTCTCCTTTGATGAACTCTGAAGCAAGGATTCTCTTACATGTATGAAGTTATCAAGGCGGTCGCAGAATCAGTGGAGTAAAAAAGAAGCAACACCCGGAAATACTCTGTATACATGTAGATTCCTTTAAAGATCTCCAAAGATATTTTAATAGCTTACAAACAGAACAAAAAATATTGTAAAGTTTATTTGACAAGTGTTGATAGTTAACCTAAATTGGAAGCTCTGCATGAAGCATTTTGGAACAAGTCTCTTCGAATATTGGTTTGAAAGGATACATCATCTAGTTTTTGTAGGAGGATATAATCGTAAGCCTAGACGTGGCTACCACATGAAAAAGCAGGCGTTCTAGCTTCCAGGGCTAGAACGTATTACAAGAAACTGACAAAACAAGCTATCAGACGGTATTAACAACCAAAAGAACATACCAATCGACTACAACTTCTGAACGTAAAAAGTGGTAAGTACCATATCTTTCTTTAAATTAAGAAAATTAAAAAAGTAACAACAACAAAAGAAACAAATGCTCAGCATCTAAGAACAACATATTACATAACACCTTACCAAATGTTACCAATCAAACCATTATAAAACTGACATGGTATGTGAACGTATCATAACTTTACATATTTGTTGAATCCTTCAAATTGCCATGTATGGATGTTGTTTGATGATGAATACATTTGTAGGTTCCCAAAAATTCCTGTTAACTTATGTACTACTAAATCTGGTTCTGTTGTTTTCACACGTAGTGTTTACAAAAAGAGTGCATTTATGTTCACCAGTAGTGCTTTCATATACATGTGTCTGTTAGTGTTAGTACGTATTTTAAAATATGAATTTTACCCAAAAATTTGTACCTGTCGTGCTTAGGCAACTGTTCTTAGTGCAAACATATTTGACAGTTCCATTTAAAATTTACTTTGTCCAGGAGCTGTCTTAAAGGGACTGATAGAATTCAGACCTGAGTTAGCCTACCTACCCACAGTGTGAGGATGACAAGATGCCTGTACGTGTGCGCCCCTCCCCAGTGACCTACCATGGGCACACCACCACCAACACCACCAGAATGATGCCCCGCCCCCCAGCCAGCTACCCAAGTAGCTCCTCCTTACGCCGACACATCACACCCCGGGCAACCCAACATGCCATCGACACATCTTCATACAGCAGCAAGCCAACCAGCTTGTACTCAAGCAGCCGCTACGGCTCGCCATCCACTACCACACGCGATGCCTACCGCCCTCACCGCCCTGAGATCAGCCGGCGCACCACCAACCCTATCACCGCTACATATGAGCCAAAGACCTACAGTGATGCCTACAGTACTAAATATGCCTCAAGGTCGCTACGACCAGAGCAGCGTAGCCCTAGCGTGTCTTCAATTTCTCGGGACCTGCTAAGGCTTCCGCTTATGGATGATTCGCCGTCCAGGACGTATAAGAGTTCAAATTTTGGGAGTGTGCCGGATAACCTTTATAAATCTTCCATTGAGGATTTACAGGCAAGGCGTCCAAGGGATAGCTCAGAGAGCAGGACTTCATCAGCCAATCATGTGGAGGACTACAGGGATAGTTACAGTCGGACAGAAAAGACATACAGACCCTCGCTGCCTAATAGAGGGTCAAGCTATTCAACCCTCAAAAGAACTCCAAGTATTGTCAAATTGACAAGTAGAAGATCAAGTGTGGGGGATTACTCTCCAAGAACTACAGCTGGAGAGGTAAGATTTTAGAGAAAAAATTATGTGGACAATTGTCTTGTATTTTGATATGAACCAGTTTCATCTAAGAAAACATTGTCTGTTGAGAGTTTAGGGTAGTAGTGTGAATTTCATTTTTTATCTTGATTTTAATTGTCATTTATCCAAAATTAATTACTGCAAACAAGGAGCTACGTGTATGTGTACATGCAGATGACATACATGTACACATGTGCATAAACAACAATGCAAAGTTGTAATATACAATTTGAGCAACATATTTACAAACATGTTATTAAAATCAAGATGAAATCATTTTCAGTATACCACCATGGCATTTATATTTTGTTAGATGATACCAGGTAACCTTCTTCTGTCTGACTCTTAAGCAGATGAAATGAAGATGATAGCTGCTTAGCATGGAAGCTCAAATATGAAGTTAAAAAAATACCCAAACTTTTAACGTCAATTTGTCTTCATTGTTGTGGATAAGTGACATAAAAAGCCAAGTCCAGGGGGTGTTTCACAAAACTTGTCATCAGTGACCAATGACAGTTGTTGTTATAAGCTACTGAAATCCTTGCTTCTGATTGTCTATCAGCAGATTTGTCACTGATATTTGTCATTTGTCATTGAAGAAAGGCTTTGTGAAACAAACCATACACTCTAGTCAGAGATACATGTAGTAGCATCAAGATGCCTAGATATTCAACATGTGTTTATTTTTCTTCCTAGTACCTTTACGAACTGAACATGCAAGCATATTGATGAAGAATCTTCCTTATAAAAAAACTGTGGTATATTTTACATGAGTATCAATTCCTTCTATGATGTGCTGACTCAATGTTTCTTGCACTTTTATACTTTTCTCATGTTGTGTTGTAATCTTGAGCAATGAGCATCATATTTTCAATGATTTTCTTCTTTCAGTATGGTCTCAATACAATCAAAGGAGCTGGCAAGAGAGGGCTGAAAAATATAGGAAACACAGTAAGAAAAGCACATCTTCAATCTCGAGTGATGTATAGGACACGTACATGTAGGGCCTACGTGTATGTGAAAGATTTTCCAGATTCCTTACATGTACACTTACTTCAAAGCCCCTCTAAAGTTTTGGGAGCCCCCCAAAATTTGATGGCTAAATTTCACTTACACTGTATCGGTAAAGTGTATCATAATGTAAAAGATGATGTCATTTAAAGGCCCACTGCACTACTTGTAGCTACTTGCGCCCTCTAACAAACAATGACTAATTGGTGACCATTGGTCCCCCATGATCCTCTTTTTCTTATGCTAACTGAGAGCTGAGTTGATGAGATAACCACCTGTCCAGTGACCTTGCAGGGCAGTCTAATCCCTCCTATAAACTACGGCAGATAAGCTTTAAGACACATTTCTGCGAGGATTTTCAAAACAAATCTATTCTTCTTCATGATATTTTTGTCTTGTTTATACTTTGTAGTGTTATATGAACACCATTATATATCTTCCATTCTTGAGTTATCCTAATATTGTCTTCAGATAGACCATGTATGCAGCTCTCTCACATAAATTTCAATAACATTACATAACAATACACATTAACCCTTTATACTGTTCATAGCAAAGCAAAGTAATTATGTATAATTTCTTTATCCCTCTTGATGTTCTTTTTGTCTTGTTTATAGCGTTGTTGAACACCATTATTCAGTGTCTGTCTTCCATTCCTGAGTTATTCAAGTATTGTCTTCAGGTAGACAATCTTCATGCAGCTCTCTCACATAAATTTTAATAACATGACATAACAATACACATTAACCCTTTATACTGTTCATAGCAAAGCATCTTAATTCATAAGTGATTACTGTATGTATAATTTCTTTATTTATCTTCATATGTTCTTTTTGTCTTATTTATAGTGTTATATGAACACCATTATCCAGTGTCTGTCTTCCATTCCTGAGTTGTTCAAGTATTGTCTTCAGCTAGACAACCTAATGCACAAAGACCATGTAAACAGCAATAGCTACCACTCTGGAAAACTCTTTCAAGGTACAGTAAAGACTTTAATTTTTAACCTTCTATTCAATACAATTAATTTTGACGTCTTTTCAAAGAATTAATTATATAATGTGACACTTTTAGTATATTTCATATTATGTTCTAATTTTGTCAATTATGTGAATTCTTTTTTTCAGTGAAATGTGAAACAAATAAACTTGAAACTTGAAACTTGAAGAAAGTAGATACTCGGAAGTTAAATGTCATGCCTCAAAGTGTACCCTTTTTATTCTGATGTGAAATAACCTCACTCTACTGTTATTGAACAGATCATTGCATCATTTTAATCGCTTCATTTCGTTTTCATTTATTTATTTCCACGTCAAGATAAAAACAATAGTATATCTCCAATCATCAAAATAAACAAATATAAAGCTGAAGGATCATGACAATCATTTAAATGGCTTGTTAAAAATGATCCTTACAATCATCCAGTTATGCCCAGAATGTGAACAGAGATGTCAACAGCAATATGTAGATCAACCATTCTGAAAAAGTTTTTCAAAGTACAGTTTAGACTCTTCACTTGATTTTTATGTAATCTTCAACAAATCTGAGTAATTGAGGTTAGATATCCTAATATTTATTCTCAGAATGTAAACATTGATTTGAACTTCTCGGTACTATTCTAGGAAGGCTTTTAAAGGGTACAGTATTGCTTAGTTTGTCAATCACACTTTAAAAAAAATTGATTCAAGCCCCCATTTTTAGATATAAATCAAGAAATAGAATATCCAAATATTATAAATCTAGATCTTTAATACACATATGTTTCTGCCAATGAATTAAAAACATAATTCAGGAGAAATGTCTTTCCTTCTTCCATACAGAGTTTGCAGAGACACTCAAGAAATTATGGGACCGTGATTCCACCGTCTGCTCCTTATCTCCGCACAACCTGAAACGTCAAATTGGCAACATGCTCAGCCATGAGTTCCGTGGTTACAGGTATGTCATGATTCTAGATATCCAGAACCTTATTTGCTATATATGCTGTAAACTTCATGATTTTTTGCTTAGATGAGTGAGAAGGTCTTGGTAATGATTTTTTTTTGTTTTGAAGTTGATCAGTTGAATTTTTCCGAGTGCTGGTTAATGTAGAAAACTGGAACTGGAAACTGCTATTTTTTTTTTTTTTTCATTTTCATTTTGTGTGTGTGTGTGTGAGTTTTCTTTGTTCTTTTATAATTGTACTTGTGTTCCTTTTAGATAGTTTCTTTAAGACCCAGTCATTGTCAACATACCCTGAAATCTATGTTATTTTTATTCTGCATGTTGACTTGTGGTGTGAGAGACATACGAATGGCTGTATTGAAAGCAAAATTATCAATTTCGGCACATTGCAAACCAACGTTGGATAAGAAACGTATACTTTGCTAACAAGCGAAGGGAAGTACTGACATTTTCCTGGTTGAGTAGTGATTTCAGTACATCCATTCTTTCCAACTCCAAAGCATAGAACTTTGTAAATTCTGTAACTATGTTTTCCTCTAATCTCTGTAGGCAACACGACGCAGCTGAGTTTATGTTGAGTCTACTTGTTGAGCTGAGTGAAGATGTGAATCAATTCTTTCCAACTCCAAAGCATGGAACTTTGTAAATTCTGTAACTGTTTTTCCCCTTTTTCAAATCTCTGTAGGCAACACGACGCAGCTGAGTTTTTGTTGAGTCTACTTGCCGAGCTGAGCGAAGATGTGAATCAATTCTTTCCAAATCCAAAGCATTGAACTTTGTCGATTCTGTAACTATGTTTTTCCTCTAATCTCTGTAGGCAACACGACGCAGCCGAGTTTTTGTTGAGTCTACTTGCTGAGCTGAGCGAAGATGTAAATCCATTCTTTCCAACTCCAAAGCATGGAACTTTGTCAATTCTGTAACTATGTTTTTCCTCTAATCTCTGTAGGCAACACGACGCAGCCGAGTTTTTGTTGAGTCTACTTGCTGAGCTGAGCGAAGATGTAAATCCATTCTTTCCAACTCCAAAGCATGGAACTTTGTCAATTCTGTAACTATGTTTTTCCTCTAATCTCTGTAGGCAACACGACGCAGCTGAGTTTATGTTGAGTCTACTTGCCGAGCTGAGCGAAGATGTAAATCCATTCTTTCCAACTCCAAAGCATTGAACTTTGTCGATTCTGTAACTATGTTTTTCCTCTAATCTCTGTAGGCAACACGACGCAGCCGAGTTTTTGTTGAGTCTACTTGCTGAGCTGAGCGAAGATGTGAATCAATTCTTTCCAACTCCAAAGCATGGAACTTTGTCAATTCTGTAACTATGTTTTTCCTCTAATCTCTGTAGGCAACACGACGCAGCCGAGTTTTTGTTGAGTCTACTTGCTGAGCTGAGCGAAGATGTAAATCCATTCTTTCCAACTCCAAAGCATGGAACTTTGTCAATTCTGTAACTATGTTTTTCCTCTAATCTCTGTAGGCAACACGACGCAGCTGAGTTTTTGTTGAGTCTACTTGCCGAGCTGAGCGAAGATGTGAATCAATTCTTTCCAAATCCAAAGCATTGAACTTTGTCGATTCTGTAACTATGTTTTTCCTCTAATCTCTGTAGGCAACACGACGCAGCCGAGTTTTTGTTGAGTCTACTTGCTGAGCTGAGCGAAGATGTGAATCAATTCTTTCCAACTCCAAAGCATGGAACTTTGTCAATTCTGTAACTATGTTTTTCCTCTAATCTCTGTAGGCAACACGACGCAGCCGAGTTTTTGTTGAGTCTACTTGCTGAGCTGAGCGAAGATGTAAATCCATTCTTTCCAACTCCAAAGCATGGAACTTTGTCAATTCTGTAACTATGTTTTTCCTCTAATCTCTGTAGGCAACACGACGCAGCCGAGTTTTTGTTGAGTCTACTTGCTGAGCTGAGTGAAGATGTGAATCAAGTCAAGAATCCCCCCAGGCTAGGCGCCATGCCAGAGAACTTAAAGTGAGTAGCAGACAAAGGGGGAAACCATTGGTATTATCACTATGAACATGATGGACAAAGAAAGAGGACAAAATATACAGTTCCTCATTATACCCTCAACAATTGCTGTGGTAGACAAAAGAACATCCCTTCACTGCTATTATCATGTAAAAATGTGAAGAACAGGTGAATATGCATGTGACACCTGTTCTACACATTTTTACATACCGGTAATAGCAGGGAAGGGATGTTCCTTTGTCTACCTGAGGAACTGTATATTTTGTCCTCTTTCTTTGTCCGTCATGTTCATAGTGAATACCAGGGGGTGTTTCACAAAGGTCCTAAGTTGAACTTATCTCTAAGTTGGACTTAACAATTATGGAAAGCCGTTAGCATCTATGAAAATATTTTGTAAAAGTTATTTTAAATGGCATAAAATGTTGATTCAAATCATTCATATTTTATATTATCAAGGAGATTTTATGTTGTTGATGTGGAATTTATAGCAAGTCTAAAATACTTCAATTTTCACTTTTGAATATACACTGTATTTTATTTTAAGGCTACAAATGGCTCTCCATAACTTTTAAGTCCAACTTTGAGTTAAGTTCGACTTCGGATCTTTGTGAAACATCCTCCAGGACTCTACAAGGATAAACTTCTTTGTATTAATAATTATACATGTCACTATTTCCTATAGTGCTTTACGGGTACAACATAAGAACAACCATAGTGCTTATAGTATTGAGTTCTTTTACAGTATTTTTAATGATGCAGTCACATAATCATGTTACTACCTTCTGCCTCAGTCACACCTTTGCATATTTGGCTTGCGTATTGCTGCGTTTTTATGGCAAGCCGTTTTACCATTTATTAATTGAATTCTTTACAACAGAAAATCATTTTTTGATATCAAGAATCCCTAGGCTTGACAGTAACATAAGGCCAGTTCTTCAAAAGTAGTATGGTCCCGTAAGCACCTGAGTTGGTTCTTTTTGATGATGGCCAGGACCGACTTGACTTCGAGTACCGGTCTGATTGTTTTGTTGCGTACCCTTTCCCTTCTGGTGACAGGTCGAGGATGTTATAATGTCAATGCTACAGAAAAATATTAAATATCTGTGACTTACATTATATTTGTATGCTCCTATGTTAGATGTGATTAATTGCATTCCAAACATCAGGCCTAAACAAAAAATATGTTGTATTGCCCTTTATGTGCCAAAACATGCGTCGGTCGGTCGGAAATCTTTTTTTTTTTTTAATTTCTTTTTTTTAAACTCCCTCTTTGGGCTGATATTGTTCAGTTTTGAATGCTTTAATACATTTTTTTTCTAAAAAAAACGGTTAAAGTTTCTTTTTTAAAGCCTACCGTAGACTCCAAGATTTTTGGGTCGCTCGCAAAGGGCAATGTACAACTTTTTTTTTTAGGCCTCATCATTATCATCCAAAGATGCATCGTACATCATTAGGTCAATACAAATTTCTTTCTGAATCCCTTAGCCCCGTTGATCTTGCCAATCTCATGTGGCGGCGCCAGCAGCAGTTGACCCAATCCATCATCTTTGACCTCTTCAATGGCCTCACACGCAGCACACTACGATGTTCCACCTGCGATTACGTATCAGTGACCTTTGAACTATTCTATGACCTTTCAGTGCCTATACCTACGGTAAGTCAAATTACCTTTGAACTATTCTATGACCTTTCAGTGCCTCAACGTGCAATAATAGTCAGCTTCTTTGATTGTGGGCATTGACAGAGAGACAAGACAAAACATTATACTGTGTCTTTATCTGTTTACATACCTGTAGTTATGTGACCCCCTTTTATTTCTGTATGACCTGTTGTATTTTGTAAAATATATTTCACTAGTTATAGAGATGTCATGATCTAGTAGATGCATCGCTGGACTGTGAATCACATGGTTCAGGGTTCAAGTCCTGCTGCTGTACTAATGTCCTTTGGCAAGACCTTAATCTTCGTTTGCCACACTCTACCCAGGTGTAGTAAAACTTGTTTCCTGCTTGAGCAATTGTGGTTGAATATTGAACAAATCTTTCACCATCCAATGACCCTTATGTGGAATCATATATTCTTTGTTTCATGTTGTTTCTCCATACAGGGTTGTAGTAACCTTGCAGATGCCTTAGAGCTGTAGAATCTCATATTCTTTGTTTCATGTTGTTTCTCCATACAGGGTTGTAGTAACCTTGCAGATGCCTTAGAGCTGTAGAATCTCATATTCTTTGTTTCATGTTGTTTCTCCATACAGGGTTGTAGTAACCTTGCAGATGCCTTAGAGCTGTAGAATCATATATTCTTTGTTTCATGTTGTTTCTCCATACAGGGTTGTAGTAACCTTGCAGATGCCTTAGAGCTGTAGAATCATATATTCTTTGTTTCATGTTGTTTCTCCATACAGGGTTGTAGTAACCTTGCAGATGCCTTAGAGCTGTAGAATCATATATTCTTTGTTTCATGTTGTTTCTCCATACAGGGTTGTAGTAACCTTGCAGATGCCTTAGAGCTGTAGAATCATATATTCTTTGTTTCATGTTGTTTCTCCATACAGGGTTGTAGTAACCTTGCAGATGCCTTAGAGCTGTAGAATCATATATTCTTTGTTTCATGTTGTTTCTCCATACAGGGTTGTAGTAACCTTGCAGATGCCTTAGAGCTGTAGAATCATATATTCTTTGTTTCATGTTGTTTCTCCATACAGGGTTGTAGTAACCTTGCAGATGCCTTAGAGCTGTAGAATCTCATATTCTTTGTTTCATGTTGTTTCTCCATACAGGGTTGTAGTAACCTTGCAGATGCCTTAGAGCTGTAGAATCATATATTCTTTGTTTCATGTTGTTTCTCCATACAGGGTTGTAGTAACCTTGCAGATGCCTTAGAGCTGTAGAATCACATATTCTTTGTTTCATGTTGTTTCTCCATACAGGGTTGCAGTAACCTTGCAGATGCCTTAGAGCTGTAGAATCACATATTCTTTGTTTCATGTTGTTTCTCCATACAGGGTTGTAGTAACCTTGCAGATGCCTTAGAGCTGTACACCAAACCAGAAACATTAACAGGAGACAATAAATTTGTAAGTTTAGTATTTTCATTGTTATATTAAAGCCTGTGTTGTATGATAGTTGAAGTAGTACATGTAGTCTGTAAGGTACCCAAGGCCATGTTGGGTTTTTAAGGGCTAAATTAAGTTTTTCTTCAATTGGCAAGACTGGATTTTTTTTCTTTATTGCAAAGTTGTTTCGGAAGAATAGGTCATACATGTACATCTGTAACTAAAATATACTTTTGAAAACTATACTTAAGATATGACATGGCAAAACCGTAGCTTTAAAAAAATGATGGCGTTAAATGCAAAACGCTTCACAAGTCGGTATCTTATAACACATAGATAACTGGATACCCTTGTTGCCTGCACATATCATTCAGTTACTTCAGTAAAAAAACATGCGGTGGTTACCTCGGTATATCTGAACGAGTCTTGAAGATGTTAAAAGATTACCAATTTTATGGATAAACAGTGATAAACATGATTACATATTGCCAAATTATGCATCTTGATGCCCAAATTACTACTAATAGTGGAGATCGTAATCCTTATTTCTAATATGAACCAGGGGGTGTTTCACAAAGACTAAGTTCGACTTTAAATAAAATTGGACTTAAAACTATAACAGGCCGTTCATTCCATTGTTTGCTTTCACCATTTACTGTCATTGGTCTCTGAAGAGACGCATAAATCGTGGTCACAAATCTACAGAATTTACATTTTTTAATAAATCTTTATTGAAGAAAAAATATTATCTAAAGATCATAATTGAAAGACCAATGGTGAGAGCAACCAGTGGCATGAATGGGCTGTCATAGTTAAGTCAAACTTAAAGTCGATCTTAGTCTTTGTGAAACAACCCCCTGATCTATTTGAAGTTTAGCCAGGAAAAAAAAGGAAACCATTATCCATTCTAATCACTCAACAAAACTTGTATTTTCCCCCTCTCATGTTCATTGCCTTGTGACTGATCTGCAGAGGTGTGAGAAGTGTAAGACGTTACGATCAGGAACCAAGAAGATGGAGATTGAGAGATGCCCTAAAGTTCTCATTATCCGTAAGTCAAATTTTGTTGTTTATGTGTTTTATTTTTAAAGTCCCTTGATTTTGGGAAAAGTTCTTTTTATTTGAGAACTCCTTGTTTCATAGCCATTTCAAATTTGTCCAAATCGTTCATGATTGATATAACAGTTGAGTAGTCATGCTTCAATGTTATTTATTTATTTATTTTAAAGTTTGTGTGGCATATCTTGATGCAAGTTTTCAAGTACTCATTCCTCCAAAAGGCAACACCTTCTGGTGATATTATAGAAGAATGACTGTGTTTCAGGCGATCCAACATTTGGGTTGGGTTTAATTTTGCCAGACATTTTGGCCCGAATTCACAAAGGAGGTTTGTCGACAAACCTAGGTTTTTGTGCGTCATATGACGTACATAATCCTTCGTTTGTCGACTTTTAGGGTTAGATTCTGGGTTTCAATTGAATTCATTTTCTTTAGATTTAATTTAAGTTTAAGGTGGGTTAGTGATAATTTGTACTAGGGTTGATGCTGGTTATTAGGTTAGTGTAGGAAATTGAATAGAATTTATTCTTTGCCAGAGCATGTGTCAGACAACCATAATAGGCCATTTTCGTAATGTAACCAAATTTACGGTTAAGTGCCTTAATACAGATTATTTCATTCACCTGTCACAAATAATTGTATTTCAGTAGTCGGAATGTAAATTGCATATATTACGTGTTATGTTTGTCCTACCTAGCAACAACATATGTAATTTGAATTCTTACTATTGAGCTACATTTTTTCTTAACAGGGTATGAAATAATTTGTATCCAGGCACGTCACAAAGGCATAATGCATAAATTGTGGTTACATTACGAAAACGGTCTATTGAAATCAGTTGCACTTGCTTTCAAGGATTGATAAACATCAATCTCATTGGCTGTTTCATCTCTTTCACGACAGAATTGAAGCGGTTCTCATCGTCGCACTCAGGACTGACGAGGAAAGTCGAGACGCATGTAGACGTCCCTCTCCGCGGCCTTGACCTTAGCAATAACATGTCACAAGATGGTAAGGGGGTGTTTCACAAAGATCCCAAGTTGAACTTAACTCTAAGTTAGACTTAAACATTTTGGAGAGCCATTTGTAGCCTTAAATGAAAATATATTCAAAAGCAAGTATTTTAGATTTTTTATAAATTCCACATCAAGAACATGAAATACCCGTTGGTAATAGAAAATATTAATGATTTGAATCAACATTTTATGCCTTCTAAGATAACTTTTACAAAATATTTTCATAGATGCCCACAGCTTTCCATAACTGTTATATTCAATATTACACCATATCACAGACGCTATTAAATAAAAAAGGGCCATGCATCTCAGATTTGGCAGTGTTAAACAATGCATTTAAAGAAAGAAATGAAGGGGTCATGGAAGTTAATACATTTTTGTGATCTTTCTTCTTCTCAACTTTAGGTTTTTAATTGTCATATGAATAGTAGTATTAGTATTATAGGGTAGGGTGAGCCTTGAAATGACCCAACTACTATTTTAGAGCCCTGCTTGATATACATTTTTATTTGTATCCTTTCAGCTGATCCTTCCTCACGTTACCAGCTACAGGCTGTGTGCAATCACTACGGGGGCACTGCAGGAGGCCATTACATAGCGTACTGCAGGCATCCAGACGATGACCAGTGGTACAAGTACGACGATGAGAGGTGAGCATGCAACCAACATGCAGTGGTATTAACTTTATAGTAAGCGGACTAACTTTAGGAAAGAGATGGATGGCGCCATATTAAATCCTGTGACAAATGCCTATTAGTATCATCATTAAAAAGGATCGGCTAACTTTGTTCCAGATTCTGAAACAAAAAACTGGATTTAGCTCATGCTGCAATGATAATTATAAACCTTTCAGTCAGAAACCCTATGACTTTTACAAGCTGATCACCTGTCTGATTATCAAGATATTTATGATTGGAAATCAAAACCAAATTTTGCGTTTGCCTAATGGTTTTCATAACACTACAGTCTATTGGGGAAAACGAGTATGGTAAAAACGGTCACTCAAAGATTTTTTACTTTTTTGAGGCACTTCATGATCATTTTGAAGCTCAACTTTTTTAGGGCTTCAATAGTACACCATATCAAAGACAGTGAAAACATGTAGGGCCATGCATCTCAGATGTAACATTGTTAAATGATGCCTTTAATTTGTATTTTGTTCATTTTCCTGTTTTGTAGAGTCACCCAGCTGAAGGAGTGCAATGTGGTGACAACCAATGCTTATATCCTCTTCTATACCTCAAAGATGAGCCGCAAGGACTCGCGGCTCTGAGACCTACCCCTTCCAAACCTCGCCATTGGATCAACTTAGATGATATAAACATAGTCTCACCTGTACATTATGCATGTGTAGACTGTAGTACAGTCAAACCTGCTTTAGTGACCACCTGTCTACAAAGACCACCTGTCTACAAAGACCACATTTTTTGTTTCCCTTGAAATTGGTTTCTCATTGAAACATGTACTTCAGAACCTGTCTACAAAGACCACTTTTTGTGTTTCCCTTGGGCAGTCGCTATAGACAGGTTTGACTGTATCTAGATGCGCTGTACTGAAGCTCAACAGCTACCCAGATCAAACGGTGTTCACAATGATTGGGTGTTTAGGCATATGGCTCCAGTAACTCTGTTTTGTCACTCACTGGTGCATCATCATTTGGCATCCACCTTGCCTGTCTGTTCTGACATATGGCTCTAGTACCGGTAAACTCCGAAGATCAGTGTTAATTCAGACCCAACGATATCCAGCCAGCTGGCCTGTTTAGGCATGCAGCTTAAACAACCTTGTTCTCCACTGAAGCGATATCACAAACTAGATAGTATTCTCGAAAGCTTGCCTTCTTGGACTGACAGACAAAACGCAAGCAAAAGTACTACTCTGAACACCAGCCAATCACCCAAAGCAAGTGATATGGACTGGAAGTCCATCTTTTACAAACTTACTCGTTCAATTGATGCAAGCCATGTTCTGAAGCTCCACAACAACCCAACCAAGTGATATCGACTGGAAGTTCATCTTTTAAAAACTAGCTCATTCACCTGGTGCAAGCTGTGAGCTGAAGCTCCACAATAACCCAACCTCCTCCGATATCTACAAAAATGCACCTTTCCTTTCAACTGTTCAAACCTTGTGAAGTTCCTCAAGCCCCTAAGCTGAAGGATACCCGCAATTGTATTAAGACACAGCCCTTTTTGCCACCCTCTGCAAGAGGTAAGAATGGCCAATCATCCTACATGTACATGGAAGCCCTCCAGAGTGGATTAAAGCAAAAATTCTCTCCTTTTGTGTAAATATATTGTTTTTAGTAACTTTACACACTCTCTTTAATTTCTGTTTGCTCAATGATAATGTCAAAAATTTATGAAAATGTGATTTCCTAGCGTTCGCTTGAGCTATAAAGTACTAAATACTAGTAGATCTAATAGTAATGTAGCAAAGACGATACACTCACCATGCCAGGCCAGCACCCTCGCCTGATAACTGTCAGTCGTTGGCTGGAGGTTTGACATTACTGTTTCCGAATGTAACAATCCCAATTTTGTTGTCTGTCAACATTCAATTCATTTTTTTCTTCTTCACATCTCTTTAAAAACACATCAAAAGATATACAAACAAATCAGTATAAATTAAAACAGTATAAATATAAAAACATTCATTGACATGGAACGGTGAGGGATCAAGAAAGGCCATTGGCCTGTCAAGGTTGATCCCCTATATTACCACCCGTCAAGAGAAATACATTATACAAAATATAAAAAATGAAAACAATCAAACAAACAGATAATATAACATAGCATAATCACATAAGAAACACAACATAAGTATTTACATAAATCACATAAAAGGCAATTAGATCAAATAAAACTACTCACTACTAAACATATCCTTGTTGTGCACATATTTGTCTGATAAGACTGAGACTTGTTTTGCCTCCATCCAATAAACAAAAAAATAGTACTATGCCAGTCCCTCCTGAGATAAATAATTTCCAATATTCTTTTTCACAGCTTGGTATATTTGTATCGTATTCAAAATATCCTTTGCTGATACGGTACTCATAATCTCCTATTCATTTTTATGAATCTATGCATATTCATGAGTCCTATACATATTCATGATACTCCTCATTTGGACAAGATTTGAGCAAGATTAGTAGATAGGAAAATCAATCACCTCTTTGATCCCTTAATATCAACATGTATTCAAAATATCATTTGCAGATACGATATTCATAATCTTCTATTAATATTCATGAGTTCTATACATATTGATGTCCGAATATCTTGTGTCGAATATATATTATACAAGTCCTTGTGAGGTCTTTCACAGCCTGACTTATCTCAAATTTGACAAAGAATTGAATTTCCGTCTTCCACATGTTGAATTGAATTGAATTGAATTGACATTTATTTCCATTATCATGACAATATATACAAAGATAAAAGATGGCATATCACAACAGATAAAAATATCAAATTTACATATAAAGTGACATATTTCTATTCAAAATATACAATAAATATGAAAGTATAACCCATAGTACAAAATATATGTACATGTATATAGACTGATAGAAGTTTGTGCAATATGTTCACGGGTAGGACTATACGACACTCCTAGGGTATATTTTTTTCTAACGAAGTAATAACAAAATTGATCCAAGTAATTAAATGAATGAATTGGCCGTTGATTAAATTTAATAGAATTAAGTTGGGCTGCAAGGACTGACTGCAGATATCCAATTCCCAACTGACACTAAACTTACTTTTGAAAAAGTATCTTATTCACAGGTACTGCAGAAACAACAGTTAATTATTGCCTTCACATTCACTTTTTGTATTCATTACCGTTTATTTTTGGTCAGAGCTTCATTTTTATGCCTCCACCTCTAAAATTGGTGCAAGAGGCATTATTTTGAAACATCAGCATTGAACAAATTGAGAGATTTAAAGCAAGGTAAATGGCCAATATCTCTTTTCATAGCGTCAATATGATACTCTTCATGGTGAAAACCTTTGTACATGCTAGTTTGGTCACTGCTGTTTTTGCGATTGTATTCTTACAATAGCTTTCAGTTTTAATTCAGTAATTATCTTGTGGCATACGCAATATTTTGAGATTAAAGTGATTGGTCACTTTAAGAATAGTGAAGAAAGCAAGTTTGTTTGTAGACTAGAAGCCTCTAGATTAATGACTTTCATGCTTATTTGAGGGACCTGGGACCCGTTTCACAAAGCCTTTTATCAATTACAAATGACAAAAATCAGTGACAAATCTGCTGATAACCAATCAGAAGCAAGGATTTCACTAGCTTATAACAAAAACTGTCATTTGTCACTGATGACAAGTTTTGTGAAATGGGGCCCTGGTAATTGAGAATAGATGCCTTACCAGAGGGCCTTAGCTTATCAATTTATTAGATGGTTTAATCATTGCATCATTTGTGAAAAAGTCTTTGGGCAATGCCATTCTTGGCTATCGGGGTCCTACACCCCTCAGCTGAAGGTATTTGGTAACGAAATGCAGGGATAAGTGAATGGTGCTGTCTTTAAAATACAGCGAAAAGCTATCGAGTGATTCAAAGTACCGTAGGTGATTGTCACTGAACTCTCCCTTATTTTCTCTTTTATGATGAGTACTTCGAAACGTGTGTGGGTTTTTACAGACGTGTATCAATCAGATATGATTATTTACGTCTGGGGATTGACCTTTCTATCAATAATGATATTTTCTTATAAGACACTGTGTGATTCATAGCTAGTTGTTTTAGAGATAGTTGTGTCAGCGGAAGTCACTTTTGATTGGTTAATGTCTTCAAGGCACCCCATATAGTTTCTTCCCATAGAGATTATATGTGGAAGGGTTCTACTTGGAGCTCAATGATTTAACCAATGACCGGGCTTGTTTACACATACCGTGTGTCACAACTATCTATCTCAATATGCTATGGTTGGAGTATGTCTAAACTCCTGCCTTGATGCTATCAATAAGATGTATTTTATTTTTTAGATGTTGTATGTGATTGAACAACAAACTAACAGCAAAAAAAAAATTAAAACAAATTGACAAATGGGATTTTGATGTGTGTTAGGAGTAGCCAAATCTAGTATCTCTATTCTTAAAGATGATATACCGGTAGTTATAATTTGTATTTCAAAGAGTGCTCCTTATAATTTTATACTTGATATTTGATATCCTTTGATAGCAACAATGTTATTGATTTAAAATTCCATGATGTGCCACAGTTACTGATAAAAACTCTACTCTCTGTCTCTTTCAACACTTGCTTTGGCCACGTACAACTTCAAGGTCACTTTCTGACTCTAGTCAAATTTCTAATTTCAGCATTGAATCCAACCCTATCCCTAACCCTTATCATAACCACAAGGAAAAAGGGGGAACACAACACAACGAACCAATATCCAATCTATCGCCGTAAATCTGTTTGATGATTGTTGCTCTCACATCTACTTCATTAGATCATGAGTAGTGTTCATGCGGGTGAATAAATAATACTGTAGTCGGCATTGATCATGCTGAGTGTTTTTAGTATAAAAGTGCTGTGTGGTTGCAATTCTAGCAGAATTTAACAGTATTATTAGTTTCTTAATAAAAAAAAATTATAACCATCGTTTTTAATATTATAATTATTATTATTGAACATGTAAGTACATAACATGTAACAAATGCCAAAAGTACTGCATATAGCTACATCTATCTGCTCTGTTTTAGAGAAGAATTTAATGTTTCTACGGTCGGTCTGTGATGATTACAAGTCGGCTATTGGGAAAGTCCTCTGTGAACAAAGCACATTGCTATTCAAAATGGTTCTTTTCTGTGTCAATCCGAATGGATTATTATCATTTGGTCCAATGCCAATTTGTCTATACCCAGTTTGAGAACTATCCACTTGGGCTAAGATCAATGTACCTAGAACCTACATCCTGTCTATTTAGTGTCCAATTGGCAATGGCAGCACAGCTAAAGCCAGGTAATAATCTCCAAGTTTGGAAGCGCTTAGTGATTGTAATAAGCGCTATATAAAATCTGAGTATTATTATTCTTATCATTATATTGCCCTCTGTCCTTAGTATGATATGTTTTGTTCTAATGATTAAGGATTGTTAAGATATGATGTGGTAAACAGCCATAAAAAAAACCTGCTACGTTTGAAAAATATATTACTTGTAAATGAATGAATGGCAACTGCTTGCGACGAAGGTCCTATTCTCTAAGCTGTGTAATGTAAGATAAAGATATGCGAAGCGTACACTTATGTCATCATATTAAAAAAAAAAAAACGTTAACCACCGCATGCCTTAACAAGGCACCCTTTAGACATTTTTTAAAAAACTTTATTTTTGTAATAATTTATTAATATGTTATTGTTTGGCACTGTATTTTTTTTGTTATAACGCTTCAAGACTTGGGTGGAAAGTGCTTTATAAGCATCATTTTATTAATATTCATATTCATATTATTATTATTGGGTATTTGATGAATTGCTATTAGATCAAATGGTAGTTAACTGTTTTAATTGATAACTAAATGAGATTGTTAACTAGATTGTTAACTTGTTAACTACTGATTTCTCTCATTGCCATAGGCTTAATACAGGGGCCACCTGGTACCAGTAGGCAATGGGTTAAGTAGAGTTGGAGACTGCTTTAAAGTAAGAAAACAAAATGATGTGAAACCAAAATAGTTCATGTAATTATGTATTCATGAAATTGTGATATATGTATATCTGTTCGATATAAAATTTCTACCAGTATTGTTTATTTATTTGTATTCAGGTACATGTACAGTGTATTGTATCTCTAAAGTGATAACCTTGAAGAAAAATTGTAGCCGTCCTACTTGAAGTACAGTGTATTATGTAAGATGTACAGTATTTATAACTTTGTACAAGAATTGCCCCCCCCCCCCCATTTTTTTTCTTCATGAAAATTGTTAAATGTTGAATTACTGATGAATTGAATTTGAAAATGATTACATATCTTTCATTTGTGCTCACTGAAACATTGAATTCGTTTTTTAAAACCATTTTGGACTGAGAAAAGTAGTTTGCAGAATGATGCATTTTGTTATGTACCCTGTACAATGAAATGTACATTAAACAAATGCTTTAAATTTGCTTCTATATTTTGAAGTTGCATGAAAACTCATCTACCGGTATTCTCTTTTAAATCTCCTCGAGTTAAGGAATATTTTTGAGTTTAGAACTAAATTGGTTCTCAGAGAATTCTGTTTTATTTTTCATTTTATCTTTTGTAATGTCTCAAAGATTTTAAAGTCAAAAGCACTTACAAAATTCTTTATTTTATACTTTTTTTCAATTTGTATTTATTCTACTCATTTGCATCAAAGAATATGACGGGTAAACTAAAGATCATAGATTTTAAGTTACATAGAATGTATTAATTTACGTAATTGATTGTGTACGGGATAAACCCAAATAAACTTGTGAGTGCCGAGAGACGTGACATACGATACATGTTTTCCTTTCAAGCTCTTTTATTCACTTTTTTTTCTCAAAATTTTGAAAGATCAAATTTCATTTATTGATAATGAATAATGCATATACAATCGCTAAGGAATAGTATGTCCCTTGATTTTTGTTCGTGTTTTTTTTAGTGCAAAATTCTTAAGATCTCAAAGATTTGCCTTTTGTATTAATGTTGTTCTTTGCATTTTTGTGTTACAATTATGATTTGTGGATTGTGAAAATTAAGATTTGTTGGTATATATGTGCTCAGTACCAGTCCTACTTGAAAATACTTCATTTTTTTATCACGCTTAATTGAAGATTTCCTATCTCTCCATCTAGCCAAAAATTGACTTCAACTGTGATTTTGGCAGAAGACTATGAAGGATAGAAAAGTGAAAGGAAATGATCTTTCTTTAAAAGAATGCTAGGTCAAAGAAGAACTTCTGAAGCAGTTTTGTCTTGTTATATATATATTTTTTTCTTTAGTTTTCATTTTTGTATAAACATGGACAACAATCGTTCTTGTAATATTTATAGGAACATTGATTTATTGAATAGATTTTTGTAAAGCTTTTGTGCAAAAGATGTAGATTTATGTAAATGTGAATTAAAAGTGATTTTATATCGTTTATAACTAGCATACTCTAGTTGTGTGCTATGATAGTTAATTGCAAAAATACTGTAAATATTTATTTTACTGATGTGTGAAATTCTATTACAGAGTTTACTGTACAAAAAATGTCTCTTGTATCCTTTTTGTCTTCATAAATTGATTTACCTAAAATAAAATTTAAAAAAAGTTAGCTAATGATAGAGATGGGGAATGAGAAAAAGAAGGGAGGGAAGGAAGAGAGAGAGAAAAAGAGAAGAGAGTGGGATGAAGATAGAGGGAGTGAGAGTCCCATTTTTGTGATTTAAAAGAAAGTGTGTGTGTAATTGGGTTTTTACAGGCGTGTTTTAAACGATGAATGTTATGTATGAATATTTACGTCTGGTGACCGACCTTCAACGTCACCATCGGAAAGACGTGGCTCAGATTCGAACCTAGGTCATACCCTGGTCCGATCAGAATCAGTTTGTACTTTGTAGGCGAAGACAGAGAGCTGACCGTACCGCGGATATTACCACTAGACCACTCCCATCACCCTAGACAATCTCTCAATATGGTCTACATTCAAGCATGTTACATTAATTCCCATAACAATGAAATATATTGCCACATCGACTTTTTACCTACTTCGAATTGGGAAATGGTTTTTGAAAGTAAAATATTAAAGTAGCCTTCACATCACTTGCTTGATTTATATTAGTGATGACGTTGTATCAGTCACAACAATAATATTGGCAGAGTAAGCCCGCTTTCAAGATTACAGTTCTCACCTGAGAGGAAAATAATAGTGTGTCCTGGTAGACAGGCTATAGCCCAAATCTAAGTTCTGTTTACTTCGTTGCCTAGCAACCTGGAACTGTTATCAGTGGGACTTTCATCGATGTTCGATAACCGCTTAGCATAACAATAGACCTTATTGCCCAGTAAATATTATGAATAGGCAACCAAGTCGTCTTGACTTTTGTTCCCGCCCACCGAATGGATCACCAATAATGAGGGCGTACCCAGGCACTCGCTGAAAAGAGGGGTGCATTGGTACCCCCAATCCAGAGTAAACCTGAAATAAACCAAGTGTTTTCGAATCTATGCCGCCGTAACTATGACAATGTAGTCTTGTACTTTGTAAAGTTAGAAGCATCTCAAGGGGATTCGTTCGGGTTGAGGGGTAAACTTGAGTTTTGTAAAGGAGGGGCACCACTGCACCCCTCTCCACCCGATGACCCCGGGTCAAGTTATGAATGAATGTGTGTCAATACAGCATGCTAAGCTAAGGTAGTCAGTGTTTATCAGCTGTGTGAATAACAGTTATCTGTCGCGAAGAGAGTGCTGCGTGTGATTTTAGAGCATACAATCTGCAAATATAACTTTATTCCGTGATTATTTATGGTGGATTACTGGGCTTTATTATAATGTCTAACTAAAAGATGGCAGAGTAAATATAACGATTGGAATATATACCTTGGTCAACTTTGAAGGGTGGTTTTGTTGGATTTCAACAAGGAATTACAACTGGTAAGTGGACGGATTTTTCAATATTTCTCAGTTGCATGCAATGTAAACTCGTATAATATATGGGTTATGGAAGCATAATAAACCGTTGAAGATATTTTACAGATGTTCTTCAGTGCAGTTAGCCCTAAGGGCTAGGTGATAATATAATGGCATTGCTATTAATATCACATTTTATATCTAAGGCTATGTATACATGTAATAGATCTAGAGCAGTACAGTGTAAGCGTAGACGTGTATATGATTCTTGTTTCTTTTTAGTTTTTCGATATACTACATTATTTTGCCAACCAGGCATCATTTTGTGACTTTCACTATGTACAGTGTAGATTGCCTACAAGAACGGATTATTCGAGAATGAATTTACGAATCCTCTTTGATAATATTTAGACAGAAGTCATATACATAATTTCATATTGACTATAGCATGATATAGGCCCTAATGATAACGTATGTGAACTTTATTGTACATTTTATCATTAATCATTAAGTATTATCAAGGAATATCTCTTTGGTATTATATAGTATAAAAGTATTGAATGCTTTGAGGGGTACGATTAAAATTAATACCTAATTAAGATGATCTATATATTGTACTGTGACCCGAGGCGTATCGTAGTGCATATACATGTAGTACAGTCTTGAGATCACCGACGAGCTAAAGTGTTTATATGTAATATGTATATTGCATAGTGTCTATTATATATCAAACTCCGCCATCTTTACAGTATTTTCTTTTGTTTCCCCTCCAGTTTTAGAAGAACAAGAAGAGAAGCACTAGCAGTGTTTTAGAAGCATTTTACAACTCAACGTTCGTGTGCAAAGGAAAATAAGATGCCGAGAAACGGGGACCCTACTTCATATTACCATCTAAACTCAAATGTGCCCATCAAAGCACCAGAAGGTGGGCCTACGTATTTAATTATGCTAATGAGAGAAAGAGATAGACGGAAGGAGAGGAACGAGAGAGAGAGAGGGAGAGAGAGAGAGAGAGGGACAGAGAGAGAGGAAAGAGAAACGGGACGCCCATCAAATCACCAGAAGATAATAATGCTATTGAAAGAGAGAGAGAGAAAGAAGGAAAGAGAGGAGACAGAGAGAGAGAGAGAGAGAGGGGGGGGGGGGTAATAAAGAGAAAGAGAAACGGGGAAGCCACTTCATACTACCATTTGAACTCAAATGTGCCCATCAAAGCACCAGAAGGTACGCATTTAAGAGAAGAGAACCTGAAAGAGATAATACATAGATAGATAGATGGATGGATGAATGGATGTAGAGAGAGAGAGAGAGAGAGAGAAGGGTGGGGGGGGGGGGGAGAGAAACGGGGACGCCCATCAAAGCACCAGAAGGTAATATGCTATTGAGAGAAAGAGATAGAAGGAAGGAGAGGAGAGAGAGACAGAGAGACAGAGAGAGAGAGAGAGAGAGACAGGGAGAGAGAGAGAGAGAGGGGGGGGGGGGGGGTAACAAAGAGAAAAAGAAATGGAAACGATCAGAGAAAGAGGGGGTGGGGGTGGGTGTGAACTTACGGTATATATGGGAGAGTGTTTATTTCTATCAAGAACTCAACACCCCTTCATTTGGGAAAGGGTTTTTAAAAATCCATACATTTTTGTAATTCTAATTCGTCATTGTAAAGCGATTTGGTCACCTTTTAATTTTTTTAAAATCCCTTTCTCTTCTTATGCAGGTCCGCTCAGTGACCAAGTCCTCTGGACAATCGCCACGAACCTAACGAGCCCGTGGTACGAGCTCGCCTACGCCCTCAATCTCCCCGACATCGAGCTCGCCCGCATCGACAAGCTCTACCCTACCCATCCCGAGCACGACCGCCATTTTGGTGCGCTAAGGGACTGGCGATACAGGTCATTAAAACTCATACCTCCTCACGAAGCCGCAATGGAACTGTCCAACAGCATGAAGAAACTTGGTCGTCAAGATTTATGTAATTTTGTATTGTATAAATACCAAGAGGCGTTACAATGTTCTTGATTATTTTGATTGAATTATTATTACGTTTCATTAATTCATCTCCTCTTGTTTTCTTGTATCGCCGTAGACTTTAATCAGAAGCGGTTCTGGAATATAATCATTTAACAACTAAATAATTCATATCTCTTGTAAATTTGATGTTTTTGTTGTGTTTTTCAAACTCAAGAATAAAGGATGGATGGATTAGTTTAATCATGGCCTTTGTTGAATACATTTGGACGTAAGCTTTAATAACGTCACATTCCAAATCGGAACAAATCATTGTTTTCATATTCAGAATATTACAAAACTTGGTAAGGGTATGAATAATTTAGTTGTTAACTGTATATTTTTTATGGGGGGGGGGGGGGGGGAAGGGGGTTGAGAGAGTGGGTTGGTTGAAGACCCCCCCCCCCCCACCCCCTCCAGAACAAAAGTCGTCTAGAGCCGCTTCTTATTTCTTTTTGTTGCCAACAGTGGTATCATATCGATATAGGCAATGAACAATGGTGAAGCGAGAATTTTGCAATACGATATTTCTGGGATGAGATTTCACTGGGATGAGATTTCACTCCGATGAATCATGACAATGTGCTTCACATTATTCCCTGATAATCTATGACATCATTCATCCCATTTGAGGATCCTAATACAATTCATATTTCCAATGACTTTTCTGTAGACACTATAAGTAAAATCTGAACTGAAATCTTTTATTGTTAATTAGTAACTCGTTGCTGTATTTAATATTAACCTATCATCAAATCGATTTATGTCTGTAATGTCTTTTTTTATTTTGATCATTGATATCATTTACCTAAATATACAACTTGATATCTTTAAAAAAATAGATGTAGAAAAATAAGTAACGCGTAGCTGGTACTATAGTTATTGAAAAAAATGCTATTAATCTATATTTAATGTATAGTGAAACTGAAGTCACATCAACGTTCTGTATGATTATTAACCTAAAAATATCATATTTCGCTAGGATTTCCTCTAACATGTGGACAAAACAAAAATCTCATGATATTAAATGAGTTCAAATTCGAGGGTATTCCATTCATTCCTCCCAATTTACCTCTCTAACAAGAACGACACACTATTGATTATTATTTTCTATTGATTATTACCAGGCGCGGATCCAGGATTTCTTAGGGGAGGGGGCCCAACTTTTTTTTTGTTTTGTTCCCGAAAATTTGAAAATCGCGCTGGCCGAAAAGTCGCTCAGTGGGGGGGGGGGGGGGGGGGGGGGGGGGGGGGGGGGGGGGGGGGGTACAGAGCACAATTTTTTTTTTTTTTTGCTCCCGAAAATTTGAAAAACGCGCCGGCCAAAAATTCGCTCAGTGGGGGGGGGGGGGGGGGGGGGGGGTAGTGAGCACATTTTTTTTTTTTGATCCTCAAAAAAATTTCAATTTGCACCCCCCCCCCTTGAGCGCCAGGGGGGGGGGCCCAACCTCCAAAAAAGGTAATATCACGTGATTTTACATGATTTTTTCTCAAGGGGGGGGGGGGGGGAGCCCGGGCCCCCCGGGCCCCCCCCCCCCCCCCCCCCTGGATCCGCCACTGATTATTACGACACGTTACTGGCACGGCCGAGAGAGATAGCATTCCGCCCACAAACGGCCAGCCATCAGCTCTTCACTCTGAAGTTCCTATAATATTTTGTTTAACCTTTTATCATTGCTTAAGTTCAAACAAAACGATGGAACAAGAAATGGGAGAGGGGCTCATAACAATACACTCTACAGAGGATTGGTCGAATGTTTTTGGTAGATTCTTGGTTAAAATGACCAATCAAATGGTAAATTTGGTCAAAATAAGGAACATCACTGGAAAATGTTTTGTCCGGTGAACAAATTATACCTTGTCAGTTGACTGGTTCGAATTTATTCAGTTTCATGAAGAATGCTTTATAAGTTTAAAGTGTTTTATGGAAGGAGTGTACTGCAATCATGATGCATCTGTTTGGAGGTAAAGGGCGTTAACTCATACACTTTAACACAGAGTTAACGCCCTTTTGGCTCTGAACAGACCAATTCATTTACCAAAGATGTTTTCATTCACTTTGTAAACATGTTCGAGTTGTCATAATTGAGGTATTGGTATATTTTCAACTCAAAACGATCAAAGTAGTGCATTTACAATGAGATCGAATTGTAGTTTGTCAACTATCAAGTGATGATAATTATAATGATGAATGTAAATAAACATAAATAGATGTGAAAATATTGTATATTAGAACGACGATTCTTTTTCTTTCTCTCTCTATGAACTCATGAGAGTATATTATGTTGTTTAGGCCAAATTCGGCGCCGATAGAAAAATTAGTAGCGCAAGCAAAGAAGAAAAAGAAGGACAATACGAAGAAGGCTATAGAGAAGAAGCAAAAGAAGAAGAACAAGAACAAGGTTGATAAAGAAGAACACTAGAAAGAAGAACAAGAAGAAAGAAAGGAAGAAGAATAAACATAAGGAGAAGACTAGGAAGAAGATGAATAAGAAAGAAAGAAGAAAGAAGGAAAAAAGAAACCAGACAGAAAAGCGGGAGGGAGAGAACAAGAGGGAGAGAGAGAGAATAAAAGGAGAAATAGAGAACAAGAAAGAGTGAGAAAGAGAATCAGTCATTGGCGTAAATAATAAATGATCGCTATATTTTTTCTTTCATATTTAACCCTAAATAGACATATTTATAAAATGCATTTTATTTATAGAAAATTTCAATAACTGGTAACCAAGCTTCCCACAAATCTTCAAAATGGGCTGCATAGCCCTTTGAAGATTAACAGCAGAAAAGGAAGAAGAAGAGCACTGCAACAATAGGCATATACGGCAATATTTTCACGATGGGAGGTTGAGGCCTCTTGCCACTAGAAAGATTTTTTTTTTTTAGTTTTCTGTTGTTGTTGTTGTTGGGGGTGGGGCTTTGGGAGGTTCTTGCAGTCATTTTCTACACGTGCCTCGCTATTTTTTTAATTTTTTTAATTTTATTATTTATGTTGTTTATTTCTTAGGAGGGGGGGGGGGGCTTGATCTCTGAACCCTACAGAACCACTATTATGGTTCTATTAGAACCACTGCGTAAAACACTATTTCCCCACATTTTCTTTAAGGCCTGCATGTTTGCACTTGTTTTACCAGGAGGGCTAAGACCCCCTGCATGGTCACTGACAGGTGGTTATCTCATCAAATCAGCATTCAAGTAACATAATAAATAGGGTACCATGGGGGACCAACGGTCACCACTTAGGCATTGTTTGCTATATAGAGGGCGCAAGTAGCTAAGTAATGCATTGGGGCTTAATATTTTTATGCTCTCTTAAAGACAATTTTATAGAACACAGGGTCTTCTGGGGAACCACGTATATGGATTGGGTCCCATGGGCCTGTATAAGGGCTCCTTCGGATTGCAAAGGCAAGGCTGGGGGTCCAGGGGCGGAGCCTCCCCCCCCCCTCCAGTCGCTCTCAAATTTGAGCTATTCAGAATCTTCAAGATAGCCGTCTTGACCAATAGAAACACACCCTCTCTCTTAACAACAATTTTTGAGAACAACATATTATTTTGGAGTCCAGGTGCCCGCCTTAGAGCCCCTGCTGGGGCAAAGCTTTTGCTAGGGAGCCCCAAAGATTTTCAGTTGTTAAATTATTGATTTTAGAACCTTTAAACTGGCCGTCACGAGTGATAGAAATTGTTATTTCTCCTTGAAATTCACAGAACCTTTATAATAAAAATAATAATAATAGCTCGTTCTTATATAGCGCTTTCAAACTGTTCTATTTTCTCTGTTTTCGTAGGCCCATGTCAAGCAAACTCATCAGAAATCTGTAATCTGTATGTGTAATTATAGGTTTCATGATTTTGTTTCCTCTCTCTCTCTCTCTCTCTCTCTCTCTCGCTCTCTTTCCCTTTTTTAGGCCACCAAAAGGGGTTGGCCGTGGCTGATTGCCCCAACCCCTCTGATCCACCACTGACATAACAACAATTATTATTATTATTATTATTATTGGAGACCCTGAAAACTTTCTTAATACTGATGTCAATTTATGTAGTACTATGCTAACCTGCATGGTATAGTAACATAAACAAGTCAGATCAAAAGAAGTTGAAGATTATACAGAACAAAATGGTGAGATTTATCAACTGTTCTGGTCCAAGAACTCATGTTGGCTACAGCGAACTTTCTAAAGCTGGTTTTCTTGAAGTCGACCAAAGATCAAAACAACTCGTATTGCATCATGTGCATAAAATATACCATACTAGGTCGAATCATTATATTCGATCCAACTTCGATCTTGTTACTGACGTACATGATTATAATACAAGAAATAGACGATTCAACTTTAACTTACCTGAAAGAGTAGGTAGTATTGGAAATTCGTTTTATTACAATGCCATAAAAACATTGGAATTCCCTTCCCAATGGTGTAAAAGAAATAGGAAACTATGATCATTTTAAGAGGAAATTAAAGGAATACCTAATACTTGACAGTCAGAGAAGAGAAGTGAATGACATGTTATATGATTGAAATTTTTATTCTTCTGTCGGTTCATACTTTTTCATGTTGTATATACTTATGTTTTCGTACGTTATAGAATTTCTACAAATTCATCATTATTTTCCTCTTCTTCCTTCTCCTCTTTTTCTTCTTCTCCTTCTTCTTTTTCTTCTTGTACTTAATATCATTTCTATCATCAGTTTAAATGTTGTTATTATTATCTTTAATAAGTAGTTCTTTTAATTTTCTTATCTGTCTGTAAATATTACTATTTTAACTTATTAATTTTATACATGTCTGTAAGGGACCCCACTGGAAATAAGCTCTCGAGCTTTCGTGGGTTATCCTGTTCAAGCTGACTTTTTTTGATCTGTTATTATTGTATATTGTTGTATGTTGGAAGCTTGTCGAATAAAAATCAATCAATCAATCAAATTCGTTCACCAGTCGCGCGCAGAGTCAGAGAATATCCTTTTGAAATAGCCAGGCAGTTGTGAAAAAAGAAAGTTTACATCAGAACAATTATTAACAGCTAAATGCAGAAGTAATCTGGTGCAAGGTCATTTTGTCATCACAATCCATAGTCATAGCCTAGACGTATGCATAGCTCGAATGTCGTGTGTGTAGCGAGCACTAATTTGAGCGCCAGGGGGGGGGGGGGGGGGGGGGGGGGAGCGGGTCTTCGGGCCCCTGGATCCGCCACTGTTGCGACA